TAGATACCTCAACTTCAAACAGTGCTTGGGTTTGTACCACAATTGGTGTGAGGGTGACCGGAGATGTTTTAGGATCATCTTCCTCCCGAATGAGTCCGATTGACCCCTCCGAATCCCATTCTTCGTCAGTCTCTATCACATTCACTCCCTCACCTCTATGATCCGGGAGAGGATTGTTACGAACATTTGGTCCATCTTCCTTTGCCTGTATGACCTTAGTATCGATCAGTGTCTGGATCTTGTCTTTCAATGTGCGACACTCATCAATGGTTTGACCCTTCATGCCTTAATGATAGGCACAAGTTTTGATGGGGTTGATCCACTGATATGTAGGGATTTTGATCGCTTATTTGCTCTCTTTTACTTGTGTTTTAGCTCAAAAATGCTTAAAGGTATTCCCGAAAACTAACAAAATGTGCTTACTTGCAATAATATTGGGAATGAACCAAAAAAAATTCAAGATCAACTCATAAAGGAGTCAAAAGTGCACAAGAACCAAAACAGGCAAAAAAGGGCTAGCAGTGCGGACCGCACAATTCTAGTGCGGCCGCAGAAAGAGATTCAGAGAGTATGTTTTGGCCAGCTCAGGGAGTGAGGACCGCACTCAAATTGTGCGGCCGCATCCTCTTTTATGCGAACCACAGGAGTGAAGATTCAGAGAGTTGGAAAATAAAGGAGTGCATACCGCATCACTTTTGTGCGGCCGCATAATCCTAAGTGCGGCCGCACCCACTTTTGTGCGGACCGCAGAAGCATGAAGTTTCAAGCCCAAATTCCCAAGACTGCGGACCGCAGCACTTTTGTGCCGCCGCAGAAGCCCATTGTGCGGACTGCACCAGAATTATGCGGCCGCACAACCTTCGCAGGGGCATTTTTATCAGATAATTTTATCTTAGTATAAATAGCACTTTTTGTCATTTTTAGGTTAAGTTTAGTTTGCAGAGGTGCACCTGAGCAGTTTTCTTTACTTCTTTGAGTAATATTGTATTAGATTTGCTTCTTAACATTAGATTTTCTTTGTTTAATCAGTGATTATGCATTCTATCTTAATTTCTTCTTGTATTTCTTTATTTTTCATGAGTAGCTAAATCTTTAGCTAGGGTTGTGGCTCAACCCTAGTGTGGATACTTAATGGGTATTTAATTTTCGGGCCTGTTTGTGATTGGGTTAGTGATATTTAACCTTTTATATGTTCAAATTCTAGAATTAATGGTTGCAAACATTGATTCATGCCTTTTTGACCTAGTCTTTCCTTGAGAAAGAGAGACTAGGTTTCAGAAAACTTGGCTAACAAAGAATTGGGGTGAACTCAAGAAATTGATAGCCCTAATTAAAGGGTCAAACCTAGAGATAGTAAGACCCGACTTGAGCATATATCACCTAATTTGTGCAATACTCATTTGGGCTTGAGAAAGCCAAATTGGGCAAAATCACTCAAACTACCGAGAGGTATAGAGTGAGCAATTGTGTGTGATTGCTATATCACGACCCCGATAAATAAAACTTGACCTATAGTTTACAACCTATTAGGTAGCCACCTAGGTGGAAGTCACGACCCTAGATTCCTTTATCATTTGAAAAATAACCAAAACCAAAAACAATGTCTTCTAGTTTATCACTTGCAATCATTAGTTAAAAGTAGAAATAGAAACAACCAATGGATATGTGGAAGTACAAATTGAGGCACATCACACACTTACTCTAGTTATATACCTAATCCCATATCTAACTCCTTGAGGAATCGGCCCCGACCTGTGTTGGAATTTATTATTGCTTCGACCGCCTCACTACCTAATTGTGGTGTGAGTTTGGGCGAGACCAATTTTTGGCGCCGTTGTTGGAACATCGGAGGCCTTTGAAAACCCGGCCCCCAGTTGTTGTTGTTGTTCCACCCTCCTTATTATTGCGTCCCCAATTGCCTTGATTGTTGTTATCCCAATTGCCTTGATTACTCCAATTGCCTAGATTTCCTTGATTGTTACAATTGCTTTGATTAGAATTGCCACAACTCTAATTGCCTTGGTTGTTTTGGTTGTTCCAATTACCTTGGTTCCCATGTGACCTCCATTGTTGTTGGTTTTGTCCTTGAGCATTGTTTCTTTGACCTTGATAATTGTTGACATATTGAACTTCTTCGTCTTGCTCATTGAATGAATCATCTTGATCATAACCACTATCATCTTGCAAAAATTGTTCTGGACAGCTTTGCATTTGTTGACCTTGTTGCCGTCTTTTATTTACCATCATATTCACACCTTCCATTGCATGCACTTGTTTTGGCCTTTGAACTAGTTGAAGCTGAGCCTTGGCTAATTGGTTCATGGTAGTCGTCAACTAGGCAATAGCTTGCCCATGGTCATGTAGCTCCATGTGTAGGTGAATAACATTTGGGTCACCTTGTGGTACATTGGCTCTATTTTGCCACACCGAAGAGGTATCCGCCATCTCGTCAAGAATTTCACAAGCTTCGGCATATTGCGTGTTCATGAAGTTCCCCCGGCGAGTTGGTATGTTACACCCCGTAAGTTTAACAACATTGATGTCGTTAGATACATTTAGATATGGTATTTATTTTGAGTGGAAAATTTATTGTAGAAAAATGTTTAAAAAGTATGATTTTATATAATTATTAATATTACTACTTTCGAAAATGCTTTAAATTATACACGTAATATAAGAATATTTATGAGATTTTTTTTATTGTAAAGATAGAAATTATTTTCTCACAAGAAAAGAAGGCTATCTTTTTACCATTTTAAGAATTAAGCGTGCGGAAAGTTATACTCTTTAATGAGATTAGGAAAATTATAAGTTGCGAAAATATAAGTATATTTACATAGAAATTTTAATAAAAATAATACTGTATGTATTTATTTTATGTGGTACCATATGACCATGATAGTAGGATGTATAAAGTGTATTAAAAATAAGTAAAATTTTAGGTAATTTGAAATAATTCTTAATTATGCGGGTAATTAGTTAATTATCGAGTAACGGGACATTACCTAATTACCTAATAAGTGCATAAAGATTTAACTTCCCCCACCCCACCCCCACGTGGCAGCCTTATAACATAAACTAAGTGACTCTTGCATTTTAAAAAAAAAAACGTGGCATACATCCAAGTAGTTCAAGTAAGAAAACTAGAAGCTATAAGCTAACATGAATGTTATGAGATATTGGTTTCAGTTTACTTTCGGAGGCCTCATTCAATGACATTTAATAGTGGCATAATGGCTTCACCAACACTGCCAAGGAAACGTGTTAAAGATTAGATAAAGCTGAAATTTAGCATAACCTGCAAAGACAACCCAATGTTTCCTTTTGGTCTATTCATAATTAGGTTTTTTAAGATATAGTCACTTAAATTATGTGTCATAACGAGTACATTCAATTCATTAGAAAAGCTCTAGCTTTTTTCCATAATTCAAACAACCAGACAACTTGATAGGAGAGGGTTCAATGCAAAATTTGTTCCTGCTTGTTATTCGGACAAATCTTGTTGCAGAAGCATCGTACTTTTCTTGGTCTTCCCTGTCAACTATGGGACTGCTGCAGCTTATGGGAAACGTATACAATTTGATGCTTCACTTTCTTCTCTTTGCTGTTGAACAACTCCGAACATGTATTCTCCTTTCGTTTTCTCCACTAGAACACATTTTTTATTTGGCAGAATAGCCTAATAGACACTCGTACTTGTATCATTTTGACATCATGGTCCTTACAAATATCATACGGATTCTTCCCTACTACGATTTTCCGTTACGTGTTTTCGCAAAAGAGAATCGGTTCAGGTATGTTAAGGCTATCCCTTCTTTCTTTTTGGCATGATCTATACGATACGAACGAAACGAACTAAATGCACAAATTCCATAAATTCTCTATTCATAGAAATGCTAGAGATGTGTATATTCTTATTCTCCCATGTGTCATATTATTCAATCATCTGTTCATGGGTCTCAAAAATACGTAAGTTGGTAAATTTTATTTTATGATATAAATTAGAGTCATAATGGTCTTAGACGTACCGAGAGATTTTTGTTACACCCTATAAGTTTAACAACCTTGACACCATTATATATATATATATATATGGTATATTGAGTGGAACATTTTTGTCTTAATTTATTAATTATGCACATAATATCTCAATATTAACATTTAAGTGCAAAGATTGGATCTCATCCTAACGGTGGTAACTTCCTGATATGAAAAAAAAATTATGTGTCACACATTTTTAAAATAAATTGACGTCAAACCTCTAACAATGCAAACAATAATCCTCATGATATACTATTACACCTTAACTTCACTTTACAATATTTATGAAAAGTGAATTTTTAAGTAAATTGAAATCTTATCTCAATTAAGTGATTTTTTTTTAACGAAAAAAGTTATTAATTAATAAATACTTATGAAACCAGTAAAAATTCTCAGTCTTAGAAAAAATATAATTTTATATAGTTATTAATATTACTACTATCAAATATGTTTTAAAAGTATACACATAATATGAAAAAAGTTTATGAGATTTTCTTCATTGTAAAGATATGAATTATTATTTTTTTCGCAAGAAAAGAAGGTTATCTTTTTTTTTTACCATTTTAAAAATTAAGTAGACAAAAATTTATATTCTTTATATGAGATTAAGAAAATTATAAGTTGAGAAAATATATGCATTTTTACATAGTTGTTTTAATGAAATAATAGTGTATGAATTTATTTTACATGGTACCACATAACCGTAATAGTACCGTGTATAAAGTGTATTAAAAATAAGTAAAATTCTAAATAATTCGAAATAATTCTCAATTATGCGAGTAATTGGTTAATTATCGGGTAATGGATCATTACCTAGTTAATTACTAATTAAGGAATAAGATTAAACAACTCTCCCTTAACGTGGCAGCCCCCCACATATTCTATTTGTGACTCTTAATAAAGAGTGATAGGTGGCAAGACAACATGAAAACATAGTCAATTTCTTGGATATTGTGATAATGGAGAAGAAGGGATGTTGGTCTTTGAGGATATTTCAAATGGAACTTTACAGGAGAAATTACATGGTATTGATGCTAGGAAAATGTCATGGAAAAATCGTATGGCTATAGCATTTCAACTTGCTAAAGCTATTGAATATTTACGTGATAATTGTACACTCTCTATAGTACATGGTGATAAAAGCTTCAAATGTGTTACTTGACAAGAAATTCAATTGCAAGTTATGTGATTTTGGGTCAGCAAAAATGGGATTTTCATCAACAATTTTGCCACCAAATTCGTCGACGAATCGTATGATGCTGGTTTCTCCAGGTTATACAGATCCTCACTATTTAAGAACTGGCATTGCCTCAAAAAAGAATGATATATACAGCTTTGGTATAATTATTTTGGAATTAATTTCTGGGTTTGAAGCACTTTCTTCTGATACTGGAGAAAGGTTAATATCAAAAGCTGGTAATATATTAAGGGATGCAACTAAGGTAGCAGAAATGGTGGATTGAGAAGTTTGGTAGGATGATTGTCAAGGACGGGAAAGGTCTTCCCTAAACTCCCAAATTATTTACCATGAAATGAGAATATCTCCATCTTCATGTTTAGTTTAGAGATAACTAAAGTATCAAATGTTATGGATATAATGCAGAAACAACCACCGTGCTTTAAAAGTATTGAGAAGTTTAGCCACCAAAGATGGAACATGTGGCCTAAATAATATTGCTGTAGCATGAGGATATGCGAACTTTGAAAATATAGGGGCAACCAAGCATGAAAGTATGTGTTTTCTCATCCGTAACGAGACTTCCTTGAGTCTTTTTTTTTTTTCCCCTACTTCGATCCACCGTTACGTGTTTTATCGCAATTGACGTATTCTAGAAGGACTGTCAAGAAAATCGGCTCAGGTATGTTAAGGCTATCCTTCTTTCCTTTTTGGCATGATCTATATGACACAACGAAACGAGCGAGCACGCAAGTTTCAGAAATGATTCTATGCTTAGAAGTACTAAGGTTGCCTATGTTCCTGATTCCCCATATGTCCTACTACCATATTGTCTATACACGGGTCTCATAACATTCCAAGAGATCATATTGACTTACTTCATTATGCATTACATTCATTTATATATGTGCATTTACCCATGACTCAGACGGCGTTATACGCGTATATATGTACATATAGGTATATGGAATATGGGAAAAGGTTACGACGTTATATACGCATCACCACCTGATCAGCTGGTATACGATGATGATGTTTCCCACAGTGGCTGAAATGATATGATGGGATGCCCTCAGAGGCTTGATGATGTTATTTACGTACAGACCTATGCATTATATGACAGTTATACGCATATGCATGACCTTATAAATATTTCATGATTTACAGAGCTATCCAGATTTACAGGTTGAGTCATTTACTCCACATTTTCCTCCATATTCTTTATATGTTTATTTACATGCCTTACATACTCAGTACATTATTCGTACTGACGTCCTTTTATTGGGGACGCTGCATTCATGCCTGCAGGTATAGACAATCCGTTTGACGAGCCCTCATTGTAGACGAGGTTAGCATTCAGCGAAGGATCGATAAAACTCCACCTAATTCGGTAGCAGGTCGAAGTTTGGTCGTGGTTTTGGTAGTTTTGGCGGCCAGGTAGTGTTGAATGGTAATATGTGGGTGTAGTATTATAGGCGTGGTAGGTGGTAGCAGGTTGTTAGTATCTGCGGGGTGAAGGTTGGTATGTGGGTGGAGGTATTTGGTATGTAAGAGGAGACTTAGGACCATGTGCTACCATTACGGTACGTTCTTATTTCTTCTTCGAAATACCTCCCGATTGCAAGGCTTTATTCGTGGCTTGCAGTGCCTCAAAATTGGTCACCATCACATTCTTAATCCCTTCTTCTATCCTCTCTCCTAGCTTGATGATGTCGGAGAATTTGTGATTTTCAATAACCATCAACCTTTCGTAATACTGCGGGTCTTGAGCTCTGACGAAGAACTTGTTCATTTGTTCTTCTTCAAGTGCCGGCCTTACTTTCGCGGATTCCGATCTCCAACGAGTAGCATACTCGCAAAAGGATTATGTCGGCTTCTTCTTGAGGTTCTGAATGTGGAAAACGTCTGGTGCACTTTCTGTGTTGAACTTGAATCTATCCATGAAGTCTGACACAACAATTACCCGACTAACCCACTTCTTTAGGTTCTGACTGATATACCAAGACAACACATCTCCTGTGAGGCTTCGCATGAACAGTTTAATGCGCATTTGTTCGTTTTTGCCCACTATTACAAGTTTGTCACAATACGTCCTCAAATGCACTTTCGGATCACCAGTTCCATCAACCATTTCGAACTTGGGAGGTTTGTAACCCTCCGGCAGTTCCACATCTGGCTGAATGCACAAGTAGTCATAGTTTAAACCTTCAATGCCTTTACCACCTTCGACACTCTAAACTCTGCCAGTGAGCTTCTTGAGTTCCTCCGCCATGTTCTTAACGAGAAGGTCTTTCTTGGTTGATTCAGGTATGTATAGGGTTTGTTGCAGGGTGGGGGTAAAGTTTCCATATATATTGCATTGCTTTGATGAACTTCGGGAATCTGGGCATAAGGGTGGTCATTGGTTGAGTTTTGGGGATCAGGAGTAGGTTGTGGTACGTTCTGCGGAGTGTGATAAGTAATGGTTTGCGGGTATTAAGTTGGATGATGGTGGTGTTGATGAGGAGTTGGTACTGGTGGAGGGTTAAGGTTCTGAGGAGGTGTGGGGTACTGGTGTGGTGCAGGAGGATTCGGCGGTGGGTTTTGGTTTTGTGTATTTTGTAGTGGTGTATGGTTCTGGGTAGTCGGATTTTGCTGGTAATGTCAGGGATAGTGAGAGTGAGGGAAAGGTTTGACAAATTTCGGATCTGCTCAAGTTCACTTTATAGTTCCAGGATTTTCTATTCCAGACGTAAGACCAGTGCATTCTGAGCCGGGGTACTTTAACCATCTGAAGTTTCGACATTTTCTGCCATGGTGGCGTCGTCTTTTCTGATACCACTCAAATCATCCACTTTCTCTTTTCCATTGTTTTTGCTTTTAGGATCGCTTGGTGGAGGAGGAGGTGGAGGACCTCTGGATCTAGTGTGATATGCTGACGATGCCAGTGTGCACGAACCAACCTTGGGGGATGGGAATAATCAAAAGAAAAAGTAAAAAGGTGACCAAGTTAGTAAGGGATATTGAAAGAATGCTTGCAGTATTAAACATGTTTCGCAAAGTAATGCAATAATTTGCGTCCTAATTTGGGGATCTCGTTGTGTCAGAGGTAGGCCTAAGAGACACATAGACTTGGAGAAAATCGATGCCAATAATTGTGTCATTTCATTAATGCGAAAATGAGCCAAACCTTTACTAAATCGACAATAATAATAAAGTTACTAATGGCATTTAGCCTTATGACAATCGAAATCTAAAACTAAGCTAGAAAAAAGTAAATAACATCATTTCCTAATCTACTTGGTCCCTGAAGGACCTTCTCCATGCTTGGCTCTTTTGACTCCATCAATCAGGTTCCCCAGATCGCGCATATCCAATAATAAGGAAGCCTTTGCTAGATGCCCTCCTTCACTTCCATCCATGCTTTGACAATCTGAGAGTCTCTTCCTCATCTCTCCTTCAAGCTCCATCAGCCCGTGTTCCAAGTATTCCAATCTCTCCGTTGACGTAGTGGCAATTTCCTTCCATTCTTTTATTGCCTCTATGTCCACTTTGTGATGTTCCAAATGTCTAGCTTCAGATTCGAAAACCCTTTTGCGTAGCCTCCTATACATAACCTGTGCTTCAGCAGCATCATCTATGATCCTGTCTTTCAGATTGACTCCTGGCTTAACGTCTCCTGCTATATCATCCACCAACCATGATGGATAGAAGTACACATAACCGGTATGATACCTGTCTGGCTCGATGGTTTCTCTTTCCACAATTGTCTTCTGGTTCCACATGTGTTGTGCCTCGAACTTGAATGAAATGATGTCCCCTTTGAAATCTGCCTTGTACTGGACAATATTGGAAACCCGAGGTATAACCTATTTTCTTCTGGCTTGTCTCATTACCCTTATAGGAGCATAAGGATAGATGCCTCGCAAACCAATCAGTACCAGATGAGTAGTCCCTCTTGACCTGATGATGAACTCACTACTAGGAAACCACTCAAACATCCAGTGTATCTGCTCGTCTGTCAGATTGCTGATGAAATGCACCCAGCTTACAGCATTCCTAGGTTGTGCAAACCTGTCTGGGATAAATGTCATTTTCTTTGAGAGATGGTAAGCTATGTAGTCATTCAACGGTCGTCGCAAAAGATCTTGACGATCTTCTCCTCTCTGAAAGTGTTCTAACAGCCAAACTTGCAGTAACAGATTATAACCTTCAAAGTGTCCAAATTCCTGCTTGTACCGATCTAGAGCGCGGTACATTTTAGCTAAGATCATGGGGATAATGGTATAAGTTCGTCCCTCGATGCCTTCGATCAAAGTCCTGGCAACCATGGCTTACTGGGTATGAATCCTTCCCCCTTTCATTGGAAATATTAACAACCCCAAGAAGCAGACGATGAACACATAAACCCGGCGGTGCGTCCAAGCCAAGGAAGTAATGGCGAGTTTATCATGATGAAGACGATACGACTTACTATGCTCATAACGCTCGTAAAGAAATTCAAAAGGGATGTTGTAAATATGTGATTTTTGACCCTCCCCAAGATTTTTTATATTTTAGCATGTAAATTTTTAATTTAGGCCTAATATCGCTATTTCAACTAATTTTGACTTTTTACTTTATTACAAGAAAACGAAAATTAAAAAAAATAATTTCATTAATATTTTGTAGTCATTTTAATCTTGAAAAAAATACCAAAAAATAGTATATTTTAACGGTCAGTCTATTTTAATAGTTATTTTACTTGAGTAGGATTAATTAATGAATGAGATCGTATTTTAGTCTCGTTCGCGGGGAATAAATAAAACTTGGGCTCGAGCAATTCATTTTTAGGCCTAATTTTTTGCCCTAGCCCATAATTCCCAAGCCGATAATTCCTAGGCCCATACCCCTAACCTAATTCCTACCCATATATAATAGTACTTAATGTCTAAATATAGACCTACGCCTAAAATCCATCTGATCCGCCGTTTTCTATCTTCAGCAAACGGACACACAACAATCAGTGTTTCCATAGATGGGACAAAACAAAAAATCCAAAACCATGAGCTAACCTAAAGATAGACTAACTCCTAAAGCAAAGAAAAAAGAAAAAAAGATCGGCCACTTCTCTGGAAAAGATCGAAGAAAAGAACAAAAATGAAGGACCTCATCTGACTCCCATCTTCTTCCTCGTGAGAAACGGAAATCAACAGCCATAAACACAAACGAAACCCAGCACCAAAACACTTCAAAACAGCCATTTTCCTCAATAAAAGGAGGGTTTCTGTTGAGATCGAGTTCAGTTAAAGCTCGTTCGTTGGTTGC